CTCAATTCTGTTCCATCGCAGGCATGTCTGTCATTTAACCGGTGCCAGGCTGCTTCAACTATCATGGCTGTGCAGTAGCTTTTGGATTAGGGAAGTGTTAGTACTAACGCTCTACTTATCTAGGATCTTTCCTTTCCACATACAGTTGGTTTGTGTTTCTCTCTAAGGAATGCTGTTGGGATCTGGATTGGGATTGCAGATCTAGATGACTTTGTGCAGCAGGATTTTCATAACGTTAAATCTTCCACGGCATGGGGCATGGCCTTCCATTTATGTAGGTCTCGTGTAGCTGTTTTATAGGTTGTTTTTAAATAGGTCTTTTGTCTCCAGGCATTTCCTAAGTATTTTATCTGTTGGTTAGCTATTATGACTGTCTTCCTTTCCAGAGTTCTGTTAGTGTAAAGGAATTTTTTTTTTTAATTTTTATTGTGAATTGAGTGATAGTTTACATGGAAGAACTTCGGTTTTAGTCCCATTTCATTGCAATGATTAGTCTCCTCTGTGCATCATCATTTAACAGTATTTGCTTCTGTTCTGTTTTTGGATGTACACAAAATATATAGGAATATATAATCACTGAACAACCAAAGGGCACATTCTGGAAGGCTGCCTCCTGGTTGCCAGCACTCAGTTCCTCTCTTTCCAAGAGTCTAGAGTCCTCAGCTGCTCCCTCTCTCCATGTCCTCATCTCTGGTGTCGCTGTTTTTCTGGATAGGGTCCCACATTTTGCTCATGCTCTTCTCCCTTGATGGTCCTAGGGTCCTGTTTCTGAACTGTAAGATTAACTACTTCCCCCGTTTTTGTTATAAAACTTCTATCTTTACAGTTGCAATTAGTCATGATAACAATTACTATTGAATCGTAAGAATCTTGTTAAGTGACGTTGAATCGATTCAGACACATAGCGACCCTGTATAGGGTTTCCAAGGAGCAGCTGGTAGTTTGAACCACTGACCTTGCAGTTCAAATGATTTTGAACTTTTGCACATTAGCCCACAGTGCCATACCAGGGCTCTCCGCCCCTTAAAAAACAAGAGTCATCTGCTACAATTTGATGAACTTGACCTATACTTACGGATGCAATAGCTCAAAAGAGGGAATGAGTCTTTACAGCGAAGATCATTCCCACCCCCTCGGTACACAAGGTGGACAGGGATGGGCAACTTAGACATTGGATACCCAAAATGGGGGGACTACAAAGGCAAGAAGTGACTGGCTTCCAAGTTTCCAAGAGAGAGCCTAGTTTCAGAGGGTGTGGGGAAAGTTAAGTCTCCACTGAGTGGTTTCCAATCTGTCTGAACAGGGCTGTTGAAAGGAGATGGGGTAAGACTCTTGTGGTTCCGTAATGAATAACTGCTATGAGTACTGACTGTGAGTGTTGCAAATGTAAATGCAGACGTTTTGTAACAAAAGGAGGGGGTGGCTGATCTTGTAGTCCAGTAGCAAAGGACCTGGGACCTTTAAGGGAGAAGAACGGTGTTTGAGACCCTACCCAGAGAAGTAGTAACACCAGACATGGAGGCAGAGACGATGATGTGGAGAGATGGAGCAGCTGGGGAC